GCCTTGTGTGCTTCTGTTGGCCCTTGGACTGTGATGGGACAGTTCTGCCACTGCTTTTGTTTCTTTCTGCCTCTTCCCTGGTATCTGCTTGTCAGGAATAATTTCTCTGGCCACCATCTGCTTCCATCTAAAGGCCTTTTCCCTCCCTCCTAACTTATTTCTAGTTTGATGCAGACTGGAATGGAAGCTATCAGTTTGGTTAAGAGTTTTTGGTTCAAATAAGGCTCTGAGGGGCCGGCCATGGTGGCTCAACACGTAATCCTAGCACTTTGGGATGCTGACACGGGAGGATGGCTTGAGATCAGGAGTTCGAGACCAGCCTAGGTAACGTAGTGAGACCCCATCTCTATAAACAATAGAAAAATTAGCTGGGTGTGATGGTGCATGCTTATAGTCCCAGCTATTTGGGAGCCTGAGGTGGGAGGAGGATTGCTTGAGCCCAGGAGTTTGAGATTGTAGTGAGCTATGATGACTGCACCCTAGCCTGGGAAACAGAGCAAGACCCTGTCTCAAAAACAAACAAAACAAATAAGACTCTGAGGGACACTTGAAGCACTGAATTATTTGGCTGCAATCAGAGAGGCGGTCAGCTAAGTTGGTCTCTGGGTTTGAGAGGAAAGAATAAAGTTCCCAGGAGTTGACTTGAGCTGGTATATCTAGAGCAGCATTTGAGAGCACAGGCTCTGAATTCCATGTTTAGTTCTCTTCTTACTACCTGTGAAACTTTGGGCATGTTACATAACCTTTCTGAGCCTCAGTTTCCTCATCTATTAAACAAATAGTTGTATTTACCTTCTTGGATTGTATGTGAAAACGGAGATAACACACATAAATTCTCAGTCCTTGGCATGTTAACATGCTAATGCTTTTTAACTCAACCAGATGCTATATTAATGTGCAAAGAGATTTCTATTAGCCAGTCAGGGCTTTTACAGCTAGTATGGCTATTGTCTAAAACCATTTAATACCTGTCTTCACTTTACTGGGTTCTGTTTCAAATTCAGTGAGGCAGTGTGTTCAAAACACTAAAGTCCTACAAATGTCACATTAAAATGATTAATGGGAATCACTAACCCAAACCGGTTTCCAGATTTATGAAAAGAGTGCAGATCACTGAATGCCAAGTAAGATGCTAGTTACCAGATCCAAATCACTTGTCATCTTTTTTTTTTTTACAAACTCTTCCTTTAGTAATAATGGTTGCATTTCTTTATATTTACCCTCTAGATAACTTGGGAAATTCTGACTCCTCTTTGTGCTTCTATTCCCTCCTTCCCCAAAGATATTAATAAACAACACTCATTCAACAAACATTTACTGAGTACCTATTCAGTACTAGCCACTGTGAACACAATGAGCAAAAACAGACATGTTCCCTGGAACCTGGGTGAGCAGTAGGAAGGGGACAAACATTCCTCAAATAGATATATAAATACATGTAAATATCAGCCCTATTGAGTACCAGGAGAAAGCCAGAGATTGTGAAAGAGAACCTAACTCAATATAAAAGAATGAAGACTTCCTTGAGGAAGTGACAGTTGCAATCTGAAGAAGAAAATTAAGCAGGGACACCACAGGGGTAAAGGCAAGGGCCCAGAATTCTAAGGGCAGAGCATGGAGAGCTGGAGGAACTGAAAGAAGTTACAAAGGAGAAGTGGGTAGGGCCTAGGTTAGATGGTGCCCTGCAGGCTATGGCAAAGCTTTTGTCTTTACCTTAAAGAGCAATGGGAAAGCCCCTTGAAGGGCTTGGGTAGGAGAATGACATCAGATTTCTGTTTTGAAATGCTGTGTAACTTTGGGCAAATTGGTTGTCCTCTCTGGACCTGAGCATCAGATTGCAAAGTAGAGAAAAGATTTGAAGGAATCAAAGGCTGGAGGTGAGAAGACCAGTTAGGAGGCTAATAAATTTCACATAGCACTTTACACAAAGGTTATGGTTACAGATAAGTCTAGCTTTCTCTATTGTCACTGACTAATGGCAGCTAATCTTTCTTGTTCCCACTTGTAGTTAGGAGGTTTTTTAATTCCCATCAGGAGAAGGCTAGGATAGTGGTAGACTGCCCGTCATGAGTTACACACCCATCCTCCTTAAGAAGTTGCATCCCCAACAGCAAACAAGTCTGCTGGGAGGAAGCTTTTCCAAAAAGAGAATTTTCTTTAACAATACATTAAGATTTGGCAATGATTAGTACAGGTGGGTAGGCCTTTGGATATTCAAAAACTAGTTTTGTCAATGACTCACCCCTCCCTATTGCATTACACTACACTACTTCGCTGATTGTATTACTCTGCCTTCTTAGGCATTTGTGGTTTTGGCCCCTGGTATAAAATGAAAGGTTAAAGCTTCCTTCCATATTCCCACTTTCTTTAAAACTTAACATTTTATTAACAGTTTCTTGCACACTCATTCAGGAAACAAAACTTAATGCGTACACCAGAATATATAAAATAGATTATACATACAGTATCAATAATACTGTTCTAACTTTGGCTTTTTTTTTTTTTTTTTTAAGAATATGAAGTGGAGAGGGGAGAGTGAGGTTCAATTTCCTTTTTTTTTTTTTTTTTTGAGACAGCGTCTTGCTCTGTGGCCCTGGGTAGGGTGCAGTGGTGTCATCATAGCTCACTGCAATCTCAAACTCCTGGGCTCAAGGGGTCCTCCTGCCTCAGCTTCTGCATTAGCTGGGACTACAGGTGTGTACAACTATGCCCAGCTAATTTTTCTATTTTTAGTAGAGACAGGGGTCTTTTTTTTTTTTTTTTGAGACAGAGTCTGGCTCTGTTGCCCTGGCTAGAGTGCCATGGCGTCAGCCTAGCTCACAGCAACTTCAAACTCCTGGGCTCAAGCGATCCTCCTGCCTCAGCCTCCCGAGTAGCTGGGACTACAGGCATGCGCCACCATGCCCGGCTAATTTTTTCTATATATTTTTAGTTGTCCAGATAATTTCTTTCTATTTTTAGTAGAGAAGGGGTCTCGCTCTTGCTCAGGCTGGTCTTGAACTCATGATCTCAAGCCATCCTTCTGCCTTGGCCTCCCAGATTGCTGGGATTACAGGCGTGAGCCACGGCACCTGGCCCTAACTTTGTCTTTTTAATTAAATATATCTTGGAGACCTTTCCATATCAGCATATTTGATGTTATTTGTATGCTGATATATGATATTTATATCATATAGATAAGTTACTTGTTTCGTTATTTTTTGCAACTGTCAAGTATTCTATTGAATGATGTATTTGCCATTTATTTAGCTTGCTTCTGGGTTTTGTTTTGTTTTTGGTATTATAAACAGTTTTGCAGTGGACACTTGTGTATTCACATCTTGATGCACTTCCACAAGTATTTCCATAGAGAACCACCTGATCAGAAAATATGTACATTTAAATTTTTGAAACAGGAATACAACAGTAAGCAAGTCAGACAATGAGCTCACATTGTAATAAAAGAGACATACAAATCAACAAAAGTAATAAAAATACTTACAAAAACGCCAACAGGATAAATAGTGAATGGAGTGGGAGAAGAGATTTGGAGTAGTCAGGAGGCCTCTCTGAGGAGATGAGCTAGATCTGAGTGCCAAGAGGGAGAGAGCCATGCAAATATTTGGGGGCAAGAAAAAGCGAACGGCAAATGCAAAGGTCCTAGGGAGGGAAGGAACTTGGCTCGTTGGAGAAGCAGTCAAGGAAGCCAGTGTGGCTGGAGGATACTGAGCGAGAAGAGCAGTACGTCTGAGTAGGTAGGCAGTGCCTCTATGAAGTAGGACCTCGAAGGCGATGATTAACAGTTCGGATTTTATTCCTACTAAGTTTAGAAGGACTCGGGTGACAGGATCCGTAATGAACAAAGGGAAAAGTGAAGCTATTTACCCGCGGGGTGACCGTGGGCAAGTTCCTGAATCGCGCTAAGGCTCTTTCACCCTCTGGGAAATGGGTCACTAATCGCCACCTTCAACGGTGCGAAGGCGCCAGTGAAGGCTTCGGGGCCGCGGCCGCGAGTTTACCTGTCCTCCAGTACGGACTCCATGGGTTCCACCCCGTCCGTGTGCACGGCGTGGAGCCGGTCGGCGAAGGCGATGGCTTTCTCCAGCCGCGCCACCGCCTCGCGGCTGCCGAAGTCCACGAGCGCTAGACGCTCCAGGTGCTCGATCACCTCGGCGGTGACTCGGCCACTTCCCTAGGGGATGAGGCGGGGCGTGTGGGTCACGAACGGGACCTGCTCCGCCACCCGGCCTGCTCCGCCGCCCTTCTAGATGCCCCCGGCCTTTACCTGCGGATCCGCCTTGGAAGTGAAGCCCCGACGCCCGCCCAGCGGGGCCCGAAGGCCCAGCCACACTGCCCGCGCCCACATTCCTTCCCTCCTCGGCTCCCGTAACGCGCCCGTACGTAACGCCGAGCGACGCGCCTGAGGGTGATGACATCAGAGTGCGCCGTCGCTGCCGCCACCACTGTCGCCATGAACAGCGTAGGGGACGCTTGCACAGACATGAATTGCGAGTACGACCAGTGCTTCAATCGCTGGTTTGCCGAGAAGTTTCTCAAGGGGGACGTCTCCGGGGATCCGTGCACCGACCTCTTCAAGCGCTACCAGCAGTGTGTTCAGGTGAGCCTTTCCGCATCTGCCACAAGGCCCCGCATTCTCTGCGGTGTCCCCCGCCACATGCACCGCGTCTTGCGGAGGGTGGGACGAGGAGGATCGGGAAAAGCCGCAGTGGGACCAGTGGCAGGAGCCCTCTCCCCTACCATCACCACCGAGGGCCGCTTGGGTGTCTCTCCGAATGAAAACGTTAAATGTTTTTGCAGTGCTTTACTTTTTAAGGAGCAGAGTAACACCTTTTGGTTCATTTGGTGCTCGTTCTAAACTTGCAAGGTGGACATAGCTATAATATGTATTTTATACTTGGAAAACTAACCCTCAGAAATAGGAAGTGATTGGTCCAAGTTCACTAGAAACAGGTTTCCTTTTCCTTGATTCTTTTGCAGGTGGCGCACTTTTCTACCATTACTGTTCGGGGGACTGGGCGGGGTTAGCCTTTCTCTAGGCGGTTAGACACTGTGGAGGGTCCCGTTGTTTTTGTTGTTATAATCTCTTCATTGGCCTGTTTATCTTTCTCAACTAGTCCCCCCCAGTTGCAGCTAGGAAATTTTCATTCCGGCCCAATGGATGTGCAACTGCTTTGAATTACAAGAGCATTGGGCAAATCACCAAGTGAAGCTAAGACATCATCAGGGTAACTCCACGGGGTAGTTGCTATCTTTATCCCACTTACAGATGAGGAAAGTGAGGCTGGCTCAAGGTCACACAGCAAGTCCTGGGACCCAGATTTGAACCCATTTCCATCACTAAGATAAAGTGATAAAGTGGGTGATACTGGCTTTCAAATTTCACTTAATGGGCCGGGCGCGGTGGCTCACGCCTGTAATCCTAGCTCTCTGGGAGGCCAAGGTGGGCGGATTGTCTGAGCTCAGGAGTTCGAGACCAGCCTGAGCAAGAGCGAAAACCCCGCCTCTACTAAAATTAGAAAGAAATTAATCGGCCAACTAAAAATATATAGAAAAAATTAGCCGGGCATGGTGGCACATGCCTGTAGTCCCAGCTACTCGGGAGGCTGGGGCAGTAGGATCACTTGAGCCCAGGAGTGTGAGGTTGCTGTGAGCTAGGCTGACGCCACGGCACTCACTCTAGCCAGGGCAACAGAGTGAGACTGTCTCAAAAAAAAAAAAAAAATTTTCACTTAATGATTCCCTCACAACTCCTTCTCCACTCTGTCTGGTCTTATATTTGATTTCTTCATCATGGCACTTCTGTTTGTTTAAAAAGTACGTGATTCGAATCATGGTTGTGAGTCTTCACAGTTCAGTCTGGTTTTACTTTTGTACCGTCGTATCTTACTTACAAAGCTTGGTCCTCAAGTTTCATACAGATCTTCATAATGTGTTTTCTCCTCCCATCAGAAAGCAATAAAGGAGAAAGAGATTCCTATTGAAGGACTGGAGTTCATGGACCATGGCAAAGAAAAGCCTGAAAACTCTTCTTGACCTTGACAGTCGCCTTGAAAATGGATTCCTCAAATCAGGAAATTGAGAATTCTGGATTTTGTCAACTAAAGGGTGAAAATAGCCATCAGATTTGATGAGGAATTTAGAAGAGGAGTTTTATTTCCTCTTCCTTGATGTTTTCCTCTCACTTTTAAAACGTGATCAACTCTTTTCTTTGAGATGATTTCTCACTTGCTCTGGCATCTTGCAGGAACTCAATGTGCTAAAATTGAATAATTTCTTGGAGTTATGGTTGCAATATTTAGTCTGGGATCAGCTTTACATATACCTTCTATGTAGATAGTGATAAACTAGTCAGGATGATCAAGGTTGCCTGACCTCTTGATTTTTGCTGCAAAGGACATTATGTACACTATCCTGGGGTCATTGTTGATTAATGCAATTGGTTAGGACCTCTTTTTTCTCTCAGGGAACTAATGCTGTGAAAAGGGATCTGGGCGCAACAGTTTCAATCAATGCTTGGGAGCACAGTTTTATTTTTATATATTATAGTAACTAATGGTTAAGATGACTGGTGGCCTGGAGTAGCAAAAGAGGAAGACGGCTTTTAACAGACGGATGGTTCCCTGCCTTAACGAGAGGCGTCAGATTAAAATGTGAAAGCTTCAAGAATGTTGAAGTGAACACCATCTCAACGCTCACAGTGTAGTTCAGGAATTAAGATACTTGGAGTAGCTGTGGAGGAAGAACCTAAATTGCAAAGATTTGCGGCTGCCAGCTTTCAACCCAAGTCGATGAATTAAGTCTACCTGCATATCATAAAAATGCTGCATCTGATTAAATGGGGGAGAAAAGGTGTTTGCTTTATTTGCCTTGTTAACCCACCTTGCCGAGTAATGTCTGTAATCATGAAGATGGAATAAATTGGAACATTTAGTTTCTATCATTATTTGCCCCTGGAACTCAGTGCGCTTTATCAAACTATTACCCTGTTACCCCACGTCTCATACATACGCTGGGGAGAGTTTTGTTTTTTATCATTTAAAGGTGAAGATTTGTCTAAGGTAGGTGGTATGGTATGGCAATTAGAAGCCTCACTGATTTCTAAAATTTATTTCCACAGTAGGCTACACAGATATCTTACAATAGATATTTATATTATGGTACCAAGAAATGTCAGGATCAGGGGAGCACTTACATACTTTAGAGTGTCATGTAATCCCCACAGTTGCCTATCTTGAGTAATTTGGTTTAACTTATTATATGCTCAAAGATAGTAAGAAACTTAATTTACAGAAGGCTGAAATTCTGTTATCTTCTCTCCACTTTACCAGTTACTACTTCATATTTAATGGACCAATCCCTTAATGTCATTTCAAAGAATTCTATATTTATATTTTCTCACTGGTTAAGGTCTATTATGCAAGGATTATAAAAGAGATTTGGAACCCAGCTGAGGGAGGCCAGGTATATCTATCCTAAACTCAGACTGGCCACAAGCAAAACAGCTTTATAGGGACTCAGAAGTGCAGGCTGTATACCACAAAATGGCAAACATAATAGGGATTCTTTCCTTACTGTATATGGCTTTCACAATGTCTATATACCTTACCTTTGCATTACCAGTTTAATATAATGTACTGCAAAATACCTTAAAGCCTCTTGAACCTTGCCACAAAACTGTCCCCACTGAGCCTTGAGAATAAACCAGCTCTAAGCAACAATATTCCTTCATTGTAACTCATATTGAGAAGTCTGTTTGATGTGAAAACCGCATATGCTAGCCCAGAAATTCACTTCTGAACCTGCCTTTTGGGAAAACTGCAGGAAATATCTTAAGCAAACGTCTTCAATTTCAATTGAGAAGGATGTTCTAATATATTGTCAGAACAGATTTAAGAATCGCTGAAGTGTAACTCTGAAGCTCAAGCTCAGGTCTTACCCTATTCATGTTAAGTCTAAAAAGACCAGATACTAGTAGCTCCCTTGCTTTATGGACACAACATGCCAAAAGGAGGAACAGTGTACTACTGAGAGAACAATTCTTTCTGAATGTTCCTCACCCTATTTTGACTTCATGCTCTTCATAAAGTGACTCCAACTACCTCAGCTACTTCAAAGGTTTCAAGTTTTGATGAGTGAATTGCCGTTTCACAGTGATTTTGTAACTGTTTCCCCTCCTAACTCTTATGGCTAGAGGATAGTTTTAATTCCAGAAACAAATAAAGCCAATACTGTAAGAAGAAATGTGTCACACTGCTTTTACTTCTCCAAAGATTTCTAACCCTTCCAGCCTTCCGGGTGCTGAGAGATGGGTCTTACCCCAAGGTAAGAACTTGACACCTTTAGAGAGAGTTATCCAACTACAGAGAAGATTCTGCAGCAAATGCTGGTGGAATGGGACAAGAGAAAGACCCAGAGGAAGCACTTCCTCTTGAGAATCAGATACCTCTTTCAAGTGTAAACTGTAGCCATTCTGTTGGCCATTCAATGTCTTTGACATCCAAAATCTATCAAGGACCCCATCTTGACAATTAGCTCCATGGTACTCCTGGTCCCTTGACTTTATCTACACCAGGCACAAGACACCAAGGAGCCTGTTACAAACATTGTTATTCAGCGGGCTGGACTGGACCTGAAACACTGTAAATGGCAGCCATAGACCTTCACTGCAGAAACAGAAATAACATTAATACTAATTTCTGAGGAAGAACACAACCAAAGAATGAAACTTTGAGCTCATGACCAATCTAAGTTTAAAGTGTTTATTTAAGCCATCTCCTGCCACAAGCAAAGGGATGGGAGATCAGTATACTGGTAATCATTTGATAAAAGAAGGTGAGCGTAAGGTCCCGTACACTTTTTCTGGTCCGTGTGCAGAGTGATGGTCCAAACCAATGCTGTGGTCCCCAGTGCCTGGGTAGTGGTCCAGGTTCTCTATTCATCTTCATAGCCAGTTGGAAGCGGATTCACATGAGGGTTGTGGAATAGAGTATGGTTACCATCTCCCCAGGGAAAGGGCTGTGGAGTGAAAATGTCAATTAGACAATTCCAGAAAATAGTTCAGAAAGAGCCCTGCCATAAACCGCTTAAAACAGGGTGACAGATAATATATAAAAACAAAATGGAAATTAGTCCTTTGTCTACTATTTCAACCTTGCCATTATTTAAAGGAGCCTTCCTTAAAGTAGATAGTAGAAAAAGCAAGCGCAAGTTACTTACTCATAAGCCTCTCCCTAGTAACTAATATATCCAGTGCTGTGTTTATGAAAGTGTAATCCTCATCACCTGTATCACAATGGTAGCAGTCGGTGTAGGGGCAGAGATGCTTATTTAAAAGCAGATTTCTGGGCACCATCCCAAACTTGAACATCTCTGGATTGGGAAACCGCGACTCACCTTCAATTATTTTGCCCACTACCTTTGAAAAGCATTGCTCTAGGGCAATGGTTTCCAGCCCTGGGTGATTTTGCACCTCCAGGGGACAGGGCAGTATCTGGAGACATGGGTGGCTGGAATGGTGGTGCAGGTACTACTGCCACCTAGTGAGTAAAGGCCAGGATGCTGCTAAACATTTTACAATGCAGGGGATATCGGCCAACCTACCCCAAACAACAATTACCTAACCCAAAATGTCAATAATGCCAAGGTTGAAAAACCTTCTGTTTGGCTTCTAAGTCCACTGTACAAGGGTGGGAATGGTGCTCAAAGACTCAAAAATTTAAGACTCGAGTTTAAGTTTTTACGAGGCCAGTCCTACAATAGGCAAGGTGGATGGAATATTTAGTAAAGAACCAGTAAAGGCCCTTGTTAAAGATACAGCAAACGATGGAGATAAGTATATCTATATCAATAGGCAAATGATAAAATAGTTGAGAAGGTATTGGTGAGGAGTAGAGAAACCTGTCGGTCTCTTCATTACACAGCTAGTAGCTGCCAGATGCCCAGGTCTTAGAAAGGCGAACCATCCTCAGACTTCCCCACTCTTAATAAGGTTTCCCAGACCTCCAAGTTTTCTTCAACGGACAACTGTATCAGAAGGCGGGAGGTGAGATGAATCGGAGAAAAGGGAAACTGAAGGGAATTTATCGTTTGACCTTGAAGAAAACAGACATAAAGCCAAGTCTCAGTCTCCCTTCCATAAAATGGGAGAAAATAAATTCTGTTTGTGAGGACTAAACAAGAAACTACACGCCTGGCACTCAACGCTTTTAGGGAATGAAGAACTTGGAGGAGGGCATTATAATGACAGGAGAACGGACGTCTGAAGAGACGGCAAGGACGTACCTTGGTCCTGATGCGAAGATGGGGGTAGGGGACGAACTCGGGTCTCTCGTGCTCTCCGTGGCGCGACTTCAAGAAGACATTCAGCATGCTCACTCCCACCCCGGGCAGCGCGACGAAGAAGGTGAGGGCCCTCCACATGCGAGCTGCGGGGAGGCCACAACCGCTCAGCCCCGGAATGGGGCCTGCCTGGGTCTCACTCTACCTTCCTCAAGGCATCACGCCAAGGTCACAGTCCCGCCCTGCCTCGCCCGAGTGGAGCTGAGGCCCGCCCGACCGACCCCAGCCCCAGTACCTGAGCCCTCTTCGCCGTGGGCTCCGCTCGACATAGGCCGCCCCAGCTGCGGGCGGGGCCGACCCAGCAGCCCAGAAATCCTGGACACAGCCGCCGCCATTTTCAACCTGGACCGCCGCAGCGCCGGAAGCGGAAATAGAGATTAGGCTCTGGGGGTGGGACCACAACCTCAAAAGGAAGTTCCTATTAGGCGACGCCTTCCCACCGGGTATTAACCAGCGCACTCTCATCTCGGCCGACCGAGTCCTTGTCAAAATCCTCTGAGTCCCTGACCTAGAGCGAGCATGCGGTCTGCACCTCCCTTCAGGCTTCGCATTTTCCTTCGTGCGCATGCGTGTGCCGTCCCGCCTCCCTAGCTTCCGCACCTTGGTGTGTAAGCCCGACAGAGGCTTGTGCAGGCCGACCTGGCATCTCGGGTCGCTCCCTTCCCTGGGCAGCATCTGGAGGTTCCGAATACAAGCCACCCTAACATTTCATTACCCTTCCTTGCCATCCTCTGACTCTACGTTATTTTTTTCATGGCACTATCGTCATCGTTATTATTATTTTGTCTGTCCCCTCCTCACTAGAATATAAATTCTGTGATGCCAAGAGTTTGCCACTGCAGTGTTCTCAGAGTAATCTGGGAATGGTGTAATCTGGAATCGTGCCTGGCACGTGCAGGTGTTTAATACAAATTTGCTGAATGAATGAATGAATGAATGCATGAATAATAGCAACAACAACTAGAAAAAGGACTGGAATTGGTCCTAGAAGTTCTGGATTCTAATCCTGGCTCAACATCCCCAACTTTTGGCCTCTGGTCACGGTGGCTTTTTCTCCCTTGAAATTCTGGAAACAAAAATTGGTATCTGTTAAATCTTATCTATACAATTCTTTCCTCCCCATCCCTTCTTCCTTCCCTTTTCTTCCTTCTACTTGTTTAAAGCAGTTTTTAAAATGAAAAGTTAAGGCCGGGTGCTGTGGCTCACACTTGTAATCGTAGCACTCTGGGAGGCCGAGGCAGGAAGATCGTTTGAGCTCAGGAGTTTGAGATTGCAGTGAGATACGATTACACCACTGCACTCTACCCAGGATGGCAGGGCAAGACTCTGTCTCAAAAAATAAATAAATAAAATAAAAGTTAAAAATATATGTATGTAAGATAAAATGACAGTAAACTTTTTTGATTATAGGCCCCTGTAAGAATGTAATGAAAGCTTTGAACGCTTTTCCCCAAAAAAACGCACCTGCATGTAAAAACACACAGTTTAGCAGACAATGTTGGGGGAAGAGGTGGCCTTAGGACCCCCTAAGAGTCTTTGGGCTTCAGATTAAGAACCCCTGGGTAGGAAAACAAACAGGGACTGTGGTGTGAGAAGACTGGGCTCCCATCTTGTTCCCTTACAGCCTGTGTGGCCTTGGGCAAGTTAGCAGAAACAGATGCTTTAAGGTCATGCAGTTTCATGAAGACAAAATTTAGGATCGTATTACTAGAGCTTTATAATCTGATCTAGCATTAAATCTTTCTCTGAATAGCCTGAGTTTTTACATTTCATGGTGCAATCAGGATCATCAAATCCCTCAAACACAGCCAAAGGGTATGTGAGGCCCCACAATGTGGCCACAGAAAGGGTCCAAGCTCACAGGCCAGGAGATCCTGGGTTCAAATCTCTGCTCTGCCACCGGGTATGCTTTCTCTTCTCTCAAATAGGAATGTAATATGCATTTATTCATTCCTTCATCCAACAAATACTTACTGAAACGCAGCTCCACCTTGGGAAGTTACCCAACCTCCATCTGTATTAGTGAGGGTTTATTTAATCACTATTAATTAAGGTGCCTACTATGTGCCAGGTGTGTGCAGTAGTCCACAAGAACTATAAGCTCTCTCTCTCTCATGCAGCTTACATTCTAGTGGTGGAGACAGGATTAAGTGAAAAATACCCAATGCCTGGAACATATTAAAAAATTCAACAAATGTTCATTTTCTCATAGGGCTTTTGTACACCTTGCAGGGTGGCGCTGCTAAGTAAAGATTCTGTCTGTTGTATGCTTGGCAGTACATACATACAGTACACACTTAGGTATAGTAGCTATGTTTTTTGTCTTTTAGTTTTTTTTAGCTTACCCAGAGGCCTTGTTCTGAGTGAGCTATGATGTTATTGCCAGGTATGCTCAGCATTTGCAAAGGCTTGGGTGAGTGAATTTAGACAGTCCAAGAAACTAAAATCATCAATACAAAGAATATCTAACATTTACTGAGCACTTAGTTTGTATCCATATCCATGCTAAGCACTTTACATGGTCTTCCTTACCTCAGTAAATGGCCACTCCTTTCCTTAAGTCAAACATTTTGGGCAAACACTCTGAAGTCATCTTTGACTCTTTTCTCTCTCCCTTTCACTCTGTCTCTTTCTGTCTCTGTCTCTGTCTCTCTTTCTCTCTCTCTCTCTCTCTCTCTCTCACACACACACACACACATACACACACACATTTCATAACCAATCCATCAACAAATCCTGCTATATCCAGCATCTGACCACTTCTTACCACCTACTGCTACCAATTTAGTTGAAGTGTTCTCATCTCTCACCCGGACAATTACAACAACCTCCTAACTGGTGGCCCTGCTGCGTGGTCCCCTGGTAGTCTATTCTCTACGTGGCAATCAAAGGGATCCTTTAACTCAGAGCACCTCCCTCCTCTGCTCACAATCCTCCAATAGCTCCCATCTCACTCAGAGTAAACACCCGTCTTTACAGTGAGCTACAAGGCCCTACACACTGTCCCTAGTCACCTCTCAGACATCATCCCTTCTACCACCACCACCCTCTGCGCACTTCTCTCCAGCTACATTGGCCTCCTTGCCTTGCCTTGAACACACCAGGCTCTCTCCTGCCTCAGGACCTTTGCACAAGCTCATTTCTCTGCCTGGAAGAGTTTTCTCCCACATAGCCCCATGCATTGCTTCCTTATTTCACTCAGGTCTCTGTGTAAAAGTCCTGTTATCAGAGAGGCCTTCCCAGACCAAGTCTGGAAGGCATTGAGCCAAGTCTGTATGGCATTGAGGTTAAAAGAACTGGCTACAGCCCCAAACTGCCTGGATCCACCAGTAACCTAAAGCTATGTGACCTTAAGCAATTTCCTGCACATCTCAGAGTCTCAGTTTCCTCATCTGAAAAATGGGGAGAACAGTATCTACCTCACAGTATCATGGTTGGGATTAATATATACTCAGGGAGTGCCTATCATGTGCCAAGCGCTGAGGTCACACCAGGGAACAAAACATAGTCCCTGCCCCATGGTGTTTCGGTAGAGGAAGGCAGACAATAAATCTATAAATATTTAATCTAGCAGATGGTGGTAAGTATGATGAAGATAGATAAGGCATTCTAAGGAGGATAGAGTGTCAGGGTGGGGAGGGGATGTTTCACTTTAGGGTGGTCTTTTGGAAAACAAAAATATTTCAAATCATCCTTGAGAATGGACAGAAGCATCCAGTGTGTCCTTGGGGTGCTTATGCTGCCACTCGCTATGACCCCCACCCGCACCCCCCAGGGCACCAGGCCTCTCTGTGCAGGGAGCTTTCCCAAGGCCATGGCCAGCCAGGCTTAGATTTGACGTCATCCTCTCTGGCAGCTGGTGATGTTTACGCTTGTGTCGAGGCCACTAAGGCTCTCTCTGATGCCCTATTTTCCTGAAACAGGGAGCTGGCGGGCGAGCCCCTCAGTACTGGGGGTGGCTGGTGCTGGTGGAGGGCCTGCCCTGGGGTAAGATAAGGAGGAGGTTGCCTAGCCAAGGACAGGGCTTGCCTATGGGAAAGTTCATCTGGGGCATCGTGCCTGCTATTTCTACTGTGGTTTCTCCCAGCTAAGAGTATGTTTAGCGCCTGGACCAATAAAAATTTGTCTGCCAAGAGACTAATCCTGGGAGATGGCACTGAGGCATAGCCAGCGGGCTTCAGGGGAAGCCAGGGTATTGGGACCACAACCTCTATCCTCTGTACAACGTATCCGAACTCCTCGGCATCTTCAGTTCATTCAACGAAGATCTCAACTGTGTGCGAAGACTAGGGCCACAGAGGCGGCACTCATGGGACACCCAGTCTAGGAGCTAACAGGATAATAGATATTAGCTAACGTTTATTTTTTATTTTTAAATTTTTCTTTAGAGACAGAGTCTTTCTCTGTCTTTTTAAAGGGTTCTGGGGGCCATGTTGAGTTCTTATCCAAAGGGTACTGAGAAGCCTTGACTTTAAGCAAGGAGAGGGGTGATGAGCTTTGCAATTTAGAAAGATCCCCGACTGCGGTGCACCTGGAGGTTTGCATAGAAGGCTGGGTGCGAGAGTCTCTTTCTTTAGGGTGGGAGGGGGACAGTCCAATCAGGGCGGGCTGAATAGTGCAGCTGTGCATGTTAGAGCACTGGATTTGGATCCTGAGCTACCTGGGTTTGAGCCCTGGCCCTAGTCCTTCCTACTAGGAAGACCTAGGGCCATCCATTTTACCTCGCTAAGCCTTTCTTCCTTCATTTATAAGTGGGGCTAATAACTGCCAATCTTCCAAGGATGTTGAGAGCTTAAATGTCACCATGTAGGTAGAAAGCCTGGCCCCTAGCAGGTGCACAGTGAAGGGCAGCTACTACTTATTTCCACACTTCCCACTCCCACCCCCCAACCCTCTGCCTAGCCAGACTGTCAGCTTTGGAGGACAGACCCCCGGTGTCACCCATAAAACTTGGTGCTAGATTACTTTTCCTTACTGGTCCCTGTTTATGCTCATCCACCTGTCCCCACCCGAGGCTTGGCTGAGGCTAGCCCCTCGCTGGAAACGCCCTTCCCACACTGTTCCCCACCTCTGTCTGCACACATTCTCACCTCCTCCAGGCAGCCTTTCCTGATTACATCCTGTGCCCAGCCCCTAGTCCCTCAGTGATGTTTAAGCTCACTGTACCTTGTACGAGGACTATTCCATTTCCTCATTTCTGCTGTGAGCTCCCAGAGAGCTCATTTTCTTTCTGAGTCCTCTAAATTCCCTTGAAGCCTGGCACAGGGCAGGCATAACAAAATGGTTAAGAACTCAGGCTTTCAGACAAAGCTGGATTTAAATCCTGGCTCTGGGCCGGGCATGGTGGCTCACGCCTGTAATCCTAG